TTAGTCTAGTTTAATGTCCCGCAAACAGAATTGAAAAATATTTTCATGGTAATGAGTGGTAAAGTGGCCCCTGTTTTTTGGGACACACGGTATATATATATATATATATACACTCTATGTTATAAATATATACAAATACTTATTGTGAATTGTGAAAAATATTTGAATACTTGGTAAACACTTGGTGTAATACTTAGGTTTCACTTACCTGTGAAAAGTGATGTTTTCAGATTTCGTTTTGGCATTTCTAGTTCTACCACAAATAAAACAACTAGGCATTGTAGGTATGTAGTAGGGATAGAAAAAATATCTAAATAAACAGMAACGGGGCACGGTGGCACAGACCAGACAAATTAAACAAATATCACTTAAGTCACACTTACAAAGTCACAACCAGAATAAATAAGAAACGATCAACATTCAACGGATCAAGTGRGTAGGTAAAGCCGGTAAAGGTAATAAACATTATATTATTATATTATCAGTAACTACCAAAATTAATAATCTTTCATGATAATATTATGTGCAATAATGACAACAGAATGTCAAAAATTAAAATAAACGTTACAATTATTTTTTTTTTGGAAGGTAGCACTGTCAAAAGTAGTCTTTCTGTGCATCAATAATTATTATGTGTGAGATACGGAACGGCTCCTCTATCTATGTATTAGACGCTCGTGTACCAGTCTAGAATCTAGATAAAAAATAATCTGACAATCGTCGACTGTCGAGCGTCGTCGATCCACAAATCCACAATAAAATAATACACTTTACTGCTCGGTGGTTCATTTTTGTACCACTACAAAATGCATAAACATACACAAAACATATTGCAATAGTGATACTTATAAACTTGCGTGGCTGCATTTAAAACGAACTAGGTACGAAGTATTTATGTACAACTAGCAAAAGGATTTGTTTTTTTTTTGTATTATTTCTATAAAGTATAAAATATAGACTATTTATAATAATATTAATTCGCCGAGGCATTTGATTTCAATATACCACCGTGTCCGTGTGTCCCAAAAATCAGGGGCCACTTTACCACTCATTACCATGAAAATATTTTTCAATTCTGTTTGCGGGAAATTAAACTTGACTAATGGATCGTGAAAGTCTGTGTCTTACAATGTTTTTAACTCATGTATCTTGCGCATGCGCAATAAAACTTACATTTTTTWAAATGGCAACCCGTAATTTAAATATTATATTCGGGTTCATGGATTTTTTTCAAGCCATTTTGATGGATCAACTTGTATCCTAAACCCAAAATTGACTAAACTAAATTTAACTTAAATTTATATTCTATGCAAATTATAAAATTATTTTTAGTTGATAAGATATTTGATAATGTGAATAAAAACTAAAAAAATATATGATATTATAAAAATTATTAAGTGTTAGTGTTTTTATTTAAAAAAAATCATAAAATATATAGGTAAATATAAAAATTATACATTAGATCCATTGGTTTGAAACCTTTTTAAACGGGACTACGGGAGCCATTTTTAGCACCATATATTAAATGTACTCAAGTAGGTATTTGCAAATAGATGGTATTTAAAATATTTTTACTMAAATATTTTACGATATTGGCAATTTCTAGGTAAATGTTTGAAGGTAATTTATAATTATTAACATCTAACAAACAGCACATAAATTAATGACAGTTTTTATTATATTCAAAGAACACAATACATTTGATAGGTAGTTAGGTAGTTCCARTTTTTTTTATTMAAATCTGCCATTGAAAGAAAGTATTGGAAAATATTATATAGATAGTATTTATGAAGGGATATTCGATTACAACACATACGATCACACTTTTAAACACACACGATTTTTAAAATCGTATCTAAAGAATAATGTTAAATAAAATAGGGAAACTACCGTACAAGTTTGTATGAAAAAAAAACAACATTTTTAAAAGGATGTTTCTTTCATTAGTGATTTATTCAGAAGTTAATTTCTGTAAATCGTCGTCCAATGAATCAACACTRGATTGTATTGCAGTAGCATTTTCATCCATTTCCTTGCATTCCGATGTCTTATTGGCATTTTTTTGATGCATTTCCTGGCAACTAAAAATGCATAGAAAAAATACATGACATTTTGTGAATTAGATAAAATAATAGAAAATATAATATCAAATTATACCTATAAAATAAACCACAGTACTATTATGTAATAAATTGTAAAAAGTTGTATCAAGAAGTTCATTAATTGGAAAAGTTGTCGAATTATTCAAAATAATAAGATTTTACTTACAGAAAACATTATAGGTAGGTATTAATAAAATAATTTTATGGAAGTGTATAAGTATGGCAATGTTATTATTATAGTAAATGATACAGTTTTAATAATTCACTAAATGTGTTTAATAGATTTGAATAATTTACTTGAAGGTAATCGTTTTATGAATTTATAAAGACAAATCAGAYATTTTTTCGTTTGGAGGTGACCGCAGAATAAAATATATAAAAAAAAAATGTAATTTTCATTAATGTGTAAAATACCTATACTACCTATATAATGTAACTTTAAGTACTCAGTAACTCAGTTTAGTAGCTTACAAGTGGCTTCAATGTAGGTAATCTTTTTCTTAGAATAATAAAATATTAAATGATGAAATTAACTGATTAAATAAAATCCATTTTAAAGAGTTTGGCTAAATACTAGATTAATTGTATTCCATATACGTCWGATGACTTATGAGCCACAGYAGTCTAAATTRAATACCTATACTGCAATTTTAATTTAAAATCTGTAGTTATATTGTACGGGCCGGGAGCATTATAATGATAATACGCACGCCCGGTCACCAACTTATAATTGCGCCCCACTAACTCCTTGGTCTTAAAATTATGGAGGAGAAAGCTGGATGTGTAGTGGTGTAATAGCTCAGACAGCAGTGGTCGGGATCGCCGGGCAAATACTGTCGAGCAGTGTAGCGCGTGTTGTGTAAAATGTGTATTGGTGTAAGAGTGTGTATGAGTGTGGCCGTGTGGGTGTGTATATACAATTACTAATAATAAAATGGTAACACGTTTCAGGTAAATAATTAKTTGCTGTATAATACACAAATTAAATAATAATCGTACAAATATATAAAAATAACAGCAACACAATAATGGTAGGTCGTAGATATACAAAATATAATATTAATAAATCAAAGCCTTTGTGGCTGACAAGTAAAAATGTAATAATTTGACYCTTCTGGCCCAACAGGATAAGGTTTAATATAAATGCTCAGCCCTTATGGTCAAATAATAATAAGCACAGCTCTAACAGCTGATACTCATATAAAATAATTAATATGAATATAAATAAAGTACGGCCCTTATGGCACGACAGAATATAATAATAAATAAATAATAATATGATATAAACCCACAGTTAAATCGGAGCACTGCTGGCCAGCGGCCGCTATACCAGAACCTATAATATACCTACACTACAGGCTACATCTGATACAAATAATAATAATCAGTGGCAATCAACACACACTGTAATAAACAATATTATATTTATTTTGTTAGCGATGAGCGCACACAATAAAAAAACAGTATAAAAATGTTGGCGATTCGCACCGTAATAAACCGAAAATTTGAAAATAACGTYCGCGGGTTTGCTCACGACAACGGACGGAGGAAGACAATATAATATTATTAATATTACGGCSGCCGTGTTACTTAATTCGCGTAGACGGCGTGGCGACGTATGATAGCCGATAGGTATGGGTATAGGTGTATAGGTAATTTACATGTTATATAACTCACAAGACATTCAAAACTTCAATTATAACTTTAACAAAAATAAACAATACGACAAGTGATATATGTGTGTGACCAGCTGTTTCTCCCGTTACTTCTTATTTCTTAATTACCTAATTATATATGAGGGGTGGAAATCCAAAACGTACTATTGCCAAAATTGATAAAAACGAGTTAGATATCGATTCTT